TTATTTGTTTTTTGGGTGTTGAGTTTGATAAGTTTTCTATAGATCTTGGATACTAACCCTTTATCTGATATATTGTTTGCAGATACCTTCTCCCATTCCATTGGCTGCCTTTTAGTTTTGTTGATTGTTTTCTTTGCTGTGCAGAAGCTTTTTATTTTGATGAGGTCCCAATAGTTCATTTTTGCTTTTGTTTTGCTTGCCTCCAGAGACATGTTGAGTAAGAAGTTGCTGTGGCCAATGTCAAAGAGATTTTTGCCTGCTTGCTATGAAAGTAAATCTTAAATGTTCTCACTACACACACGCATACACACAAATGGTCATCATGTGAGGGGATGGAGATATTAACTAACCTTATTGCAACAATCACTTCACAGTATATATGCGGATCAAATCACCACGTTGTGCACCTTAAGCTTAAATATTAATTATATCTTAGTAAAGCCAGAGAAAAAAAAGAAAGTGAGAGAGAACATGCAAATGTGGCCAAGTGTTGACAGTGGGTGAATCTCCACGAAGGCTATATGTGAGTTATTACAATATTTTTATAACTTTTATGTAAGTTTAAAACATTTTTTGAAAATAAAAAGTTTGATTAATTTTCTTAATAAAAAATAGCAAAGAAGACTTGTCATATCAGATATCAAAACATATAAAATCAATTAAGTCTACTAGGTATTTGTGTTAAAATAGACAAAGATGACAAGTTGAACAGAAGAGGGAACCCAGATAGAATTTCAGATGGATTAAAAATTTTCAAATGAATAGCAAAACAATATGTGTGTATATAAATATGGTAACTTATAAAAATTTGGGTGGATATATGGTAAACTGTTCATATGAGTTAATGGGACAGTGTATGGCAGGAAAGAAATGAGGAGGAGAGAGAAACCAATCAAAAAAGAAAGGAAAAAAGTACCACCTAAACAAAAAACAGGATGTAAGATTTTATCAGAGGTGTGATGTAAAATTATATAAATGTGTGTTCCTTTATTTTTTTCTTTTTATTTTTTAAAGTTTTTATCTATTTAAGTAATCTCTACACCCAGTGTGGGGCTCGAACTCATGACCCCGAGATCAAGAGTCACATGTTCTTCTGACTGAGTCAGCTAGGTGCTCTTATGTTTTTTTAAAAATAGACATTTAAGGGGCGCCTGGGTGGCGCAGTCGGTTAAGCGTCCGACTTCAGCCAGGTCACGATCTCGCGGTCCGTGAGTTCGAGCCCCGCGTCAGGCTCTGGGCTGATGGCTCAGAGCCTGGAGCCTGTTTCCGATTCTGTGTCTCCCTCTCTCTCTGCCCCTCCCCCGTTCATGCTCTGTCTCTCTCTATCCCAAAAATAAATAAACGTTGAAAAAAAAATTAAAAAAAAAAAGACATTTAAAATGAGAAATTGGGTAAGATTTGCATAAAAATTCTATTACGTATTAGTAATTGCATATGAATTTGTTTTAGCTAATATTTGATCAAAAAGGTAAAATCCATTTTAGTTAGTATATTTAAAAAAAATTTTTTTTAATGTTTATTTATTTTTGAGACAGAGAGAGACAGAGCATGAATGGGGGAGGGTCAGAGAGAGAGGGAGACACAGAATCGGAAGCAGGCTCCAGGCTCTGAGCTGTCAGCACAGAGCCCGACGCGGGGCTCGAACCCACGGACTGTGAGATCATGACCTGAGCCGAAGTCGGACGCTCAACCGACTGAGCCACCCAGTCGCCCCTAGTTAGTATATTTTAAAATAAGTTGTGAGTTATGATTTACATTTGTATATTTACATTTTTTGTTGATACTATTCTCAGTTCACAAAAGTGAACCATTGGCTTTTTTATGCACAAGAACAGTTATAGAGATAGTAATACAAATACAACAATTCAAAATAATCCAATGTAAATTGCAAGCACGCTTTTGGTGCAGATACAGGATGTGAATCCCTAGTGCTAAGTGACTTTGTAAGGACTTTTGCACAAGCAACCCCCAAAAGAAAAGCACCAATCAAAATCACTCTCCAAATTTTATCTGCTTTTTAAAAATGTTTGTTTATTTTTGAGAGACAGACAGAGCACGAGTGGGGGAGGGCAGAGAGAGAGGGAGACAGAGAATCTGAAGGACTCTCCAGGCTCTGAGCTGTCAGCACAGAGCTCCATGCAGGGCTCAAACTTGTGAACCACAAGATCATGACCTGAGCTGAAGTCAGATGCTTAACCGACTGAGCCACCCAGGTGCCCCCAAATTTTATTTGCTTTAAATAACTCTATAATTCAATGAAGAATTTGTCTGAAATTTATATGTCAAGTCCAAAATTTTGCTTCATTGTCCACTTAGTAGTAATTTATGTGGATTATGGGAGGAAGTAGAACAAGGTGAATATACTAACCAGAAGTAATGATCAATGTTATTGTAGATCTAGGATGTTCCTCCAAATGGCAGTCCTTGGCTCTCTCTATAAATTACCACTTATCTACAAACTATAGTTTTGGATGGCAACTGACAAATGTGTTTTGAAGCAGGTCCTTCTGATTCCTTAATCTCTAAAAGTCCTTCAAATAGGACTGATTTGAGAAACCTGATTTTTATGACAGCATCCGAGAAAATGAATATAGCTTCCTAGCATATTTCTAAAAAACCCATGTGTTGTAAATGTCTCTTCACTGCCTTGATTCAGATCTCAGCTTGCACAGAGAGCACGCTACCTGTCTGGAAAGGTAGCTGTGCTGATGTCTTTCTTCCTCTTTCAGTGCTGTGGTCATTGTTGTTTGGTCTATCTCCAAGAATCTGCGTCTTTCTCTGAATGTTTGTAATTGTTCCCATTACACATCTTCCATATTCTTTTCCAGATGATCCTCAGATATGCCATTTTACAAACATTTCTAGGGAAATAATGGTTCCTCTTTCCCGAGGCACATTTATTTTTTGCGCTTAGCCGTGCAGACCTGGATGCTGCTTTTTATTGCTTCAGGGAAGGGCAGAGATACAACCAACCAAATTATAGGCTTTCCTTATCTGTCAGATGGTTCAAGGTCATCCTCTACTCCCAGCCATATTCTCAACCATACTTGCTTAGTGTGACAGAATTCCTATTCCTATTCCTGTCCTTCATGTACCCCTCCAATGCCTCTGGGTAGAATGGAGGAGAAATGTTGTAGCAGCCCTTTCACTGTGTTTCTGAACATGTATTTCTTTGCCATCAGGACTTTCTGCTCATCTCTCTTGGCACCAAGATCCTCTACACTCATTTCACTCATGCAGCTTCATATACTGGTTACCCATGATATAGAGAAAACTGTTGGTTGGGACAGATACCCACTTCAATATAAGAAATCAGGTTGAGAGATTGGAATAAAGAGGATGAGCCCTAGCACGAAGGAGGCTAATAGCTATTGGCACATGATTTGAAGCTTGATGCCAGCAAGTTGGAGGAATTATTCAGAACTGGTACCCTCAACTTTACTTGTTCAGGGGCACTGACCTTAAAAAGCTCAGATCCAGAATCTTGTTTTGTAGACAGTAGATATATCTTAATCTAATCTTAAAGTTCTCAAAGTCCTCTTTACACTGACTTGGGTTACTCTCTCTTTAACCGTCTGTGGCCAACTCTGAGGCTGTCTACAAGTTTCTATACCCATGAACAAATCTGCTACAAGTTATTAGTTTTGGATTTACATAATGTCTTAATTAACACCAATGTGGTATCTGGCTGTTTAGTGGTAGTGGTGGTTGGTGGTGGAGAGCCTGGATAATAGCTCATAGGAGAGCTAGATACTGTCATACTCTGTTTTCCTGAAGTATAGAAATCTCTGGATCCAAGTTATATCAGATTCTTGTAGTCTATGTTGCTATCGTCCATCCCTACTCCTGAGCCCCCAGCCATGAACCACCATGTTAAGGGACTCTTCCTTTTTTCCATGCCTGAGTTGACTGGACAAGTGCCAACTCTGATCCTGGGCTTATGGCATGTAATGACACACACTCCTTTTCCATATTCTGTATGTCTCTAGTGGGGAGGGGGTTTTGCCAAGACCCTTAGTTTATTTTCTGATTGCCTCACTCATATTACCCCTGAGGCCTCCTTTGTTCCCGAAGTAGGCTAGGGACATCCTGCTTCCTAGAACCAAATCTACAAGAAAAAAAGGTACGTAACAAAGCCAAATGGGAACAGAATCATGCTTGGAACTCTCTCTGGGCAGAAAACAATAACTGGTATGGACTAGAGATTAGGGGAGGAGAAGGAAAAATGGGGTAAAAGTACGGAAGGAAGCTGGCAGATTCAGTGTTTCTGTGTTGGCATGACCAGTCTCTCTTCATCCTCTTCCTGGATGTAGGGCTTGGTGCCAGGGCCCCCGAGGCTTTCTCCACAAATAAAAGGAGGTGAAGCTGTCTGGTGTCCCTATTTCAGGTTCTTGGGGGCAGCCAAAATGATGTCCTTTGTCTCTCTGCTCCTGATTGGCATCATGTTCCCTGCCATCCAGGGGAAGCAGTTTACAAAATGTGAGCTGTCCCAGGTGCTGAAAGACATGGATGGCTATGGAGGCATTGCTTTGTCTGAATGTAAGTTCCCTGCTGCCTTGCTTCATCCATTCTTCAATTCATATGTGTCTCTCTTTCATCCACCTTTCCCTCTCCACTTTTATTCAATTATATAATAATCCTTTTATCTTATCTGCTTATATGTTTACTCCTTTCATTACATTTATTCATGTATTTTTCCTTTCTCTCTTTAAAAAAAAAATTTTTTTTTTATCATTTATTCATTTTTGAGAGACAGAGAGACACAGACTATGGAAGGGGCAGAGAGAGAGAGGGAGACACAGAATCTGAAGCAGGCTCCAGGCTCTGAGCTGTCAGCACAGAGCTTGATGTGGGGCTCGAGCCCACGAACTGTGAGATCATGACCTGAGCTGAAGTCGGACACTTAACCGACTGAGCCACCCAGACGCCCTTATTTTCCCTTTCTCTTATTGTCTGTCCTTTTTGGAACTCTTTTCATTTCATCAATATATTTTGTGCTTTGCAATATTTGGAGATTGGCTAGAGAGCCTTTCTATGTCTGGTAATACAGGTCCTCATTCATGATATAAATGCATAATTTATAGTCACCTCTGTGATACCTCTTTCTCATCTTTCCCTCAGGGATCTGTACCATATTTCATACTAGTGGTTATGATACACAAACCATAGTCAATAACAATGGCAGCACAGAATATGGACTCTTCCAGATCAACAATAAATTTTGGTGCAGGGACAACCAGATCCTTCAGTCAAGGAACATCTGTGACATCTCCTGTGACAGTGAGTAGCCTCTTTTATCCTGTTCCTCTGTTTTCCTGGAGGCTACCTCTGGGATAATCTTATTTTTGGTGTCAAGCATACTTCTGGCTTCAGTGCCTTGTACTCCACTTCAACTGTGCGGCTTGAATTGACAGAATTTTCATGTTCACTAAATCCCCAGGCAGTTCCCAGAAGTTCACAGGTAGATGATCTGAGCTGTCTGGGATTCTTGAAGTCTAATACCCTGCATTTTCAGAGTAAGTCAGTTGATGAAGTTGACAGTTCCTCCGGAGACATTCAAGAAAAGTGAAGGGAATCCTTATCTTGGATGGGGAACATTATTGTATTGACTTTATCATATAGAAAGGCAACAGGCATAAGCCTCCAGTTCAGAGAAGAACCAGACCTAATAGATCCAGGGAAGAGGGAAACACATTATTTTTCTGGGTAATACTTAGCTCTCTCATTCCTTTCCTTGCAACTCCTGCCAGAGTTCCTGGATGATGACCTTACTGATGACATGATTTGTGCCAAGAAGATCCTGGATAAGGAAGGAATTGACTACTGGTGAATCTCCATTCTATTTTTTACTTTTCCCTTCTCCTCCTTTTCCTCACTCCTTTAGTCCAGCACTACTGTCCTCTCTTTCTATCTCCTGACCATTTAATTTAGAATGTAGTTTTCAAAACAAAAGTCATTGAGAAGATTTAGTTTTCTGATTTTCTAAGCTTCCCTCACACCACTCCTGTTTAACAATATTCCTAATAAGCATAAGAAAGAGAAGGCTGAGACCTATGGCTCCCTTCACCTGGACGTGGACATCTAATTCAGCTTGTTTTAGTCCTAGACCCTGAAGCAAGCCCTTGATACCACTGCATGTCTTTTCCAGTTCTATAATTTTTTGGAGTTTTAAAAGTGAACCCTACCCCATTAGGTGGCTCAGTGTCCCTTGCCATCTGGCTAGGAACGTCCTTCTGTAATTTTCATCCACACTCTTCCACCTTGACCCTTTTGGGAATAAAGCTAGATGGAAGTTTGGGCTAAGATCCAGTCATCCAACTTGTCCTGTCTCTTTTTCCATTATCAGGTTGGCCCATAAACCACTCTGCTCTGAGAAACTGGAACAGTGGCACTGTGAGATGTTGTGAGTGCCTGCGGTCTTTGCTGTTTCTGCCCTCTGTACATTCCTGGAATGCCTCTCCCCTAAGGCTACCTCAGTTTGCTTCTTTCTACCCCCTTGAAGCTGATTTGTCTTTGAGCCCTGAACTCTGTAGTGACACCTTTGGACACTTGAGAATGATTCTCCAGGGATGTGTGACTGGTACACTGGACTTTTGACCCTTGCTTAGTGCCCCCTGATGGCACTTTAACTACAACAATGGGTTCCACCTCTGTCTTGAATAAAGGGACTGATTTTGAATGGCTGGCTGTATTTTCTTCCTGGAGGGAGGAGGAGGAAGTAGTGTGAGTGGGTGGACACTGAAGCTATAAGTCATAGCCACCTTCCATCTCTACTGAAGAGGAAATAGACTGAACTTAGAAAGATGGAGGTTACTTTCTGTTGCAACTCGATTCAAGAAACTCATTGATCACTAGCATATTCAAGGAACTATAGAAGGAGTAAAAAATTGGCAAAAGGGTCCCTTCCCTCAAGGACTAGTAGGAAAGATAAGATAAACAATTAATAAATAATTATAATGCAGAGCGCCTGGGTGGCTCAGTCGGTTAAGCGTCCAACTTCAAGTCAGGTCATGATCTCACGGCTGGTGAGTTCGAGCCCTGCGTCCGGCTCTGTGCTGACAGCTCGGAGCCTGGAGCCTGCTTTGGATTCTGTGTCTCCTTCTCTCTCTTCCCCTCCCCAACTTGTGCTCTGTCTCCTTCAAAAAATAAATAAAAGTAAAAAAAATTAAAAAAAATTATTATAATACAAGGGATAATGTCATAGCATCATGAGAGAGTTTAGAAATGTGCTCTGAACATTCATAAAAAAAGATACTTTACATTGGGGGGGTGCTGTGGAAAAAGAGATCAAGAAAGGATTTATTAAAGGAGTGGCATTTAAGCTGGTTTTGAAGTATGGGTTGGATTTTTGACTGGGAGATGCGGGGTGGGAGAAGGACAGCAAAGATAGGGGTGCCAAGAATCTGAAAAGGGTGACCAATGGGTTGAGGAAGATTTGAGTCCTAAAGTCTGTTTCTGCTACTCATTGACGGTGCAAACCTGGGCATGTCATCTCTGTCCTCTGTGCTTCAGCTTCCTCATCTTAAAAGGAGGGTTTTGGTTCAGGTGGTTTTTTTTTGTTTGTTTGTTTGTTTGTTTTTTTTAATATCTCTTCCTGCTTTGACAATCCAGCATGCCAAAACTCCAATTTAAAGTACCACATTTATGTACAGATGGCTACCAGAAGCATTAAAAGATGCTCAACATTACTCATCATCAGGAAAATATGAATCAAAACTACAATGAAATATCGCATCACACCTGTAAGAATGGCCAAAATTAATAACACAGGAAACAACAGGTGCTGGTGAGGATGCAGAGAAAGGGCAACCCTTTTGCACCGTTGGTGATAATGCAAACTGGTGCAGCCACTCTGGAAAACAGCATTGAGGTTTCTAAAAAATTTAAAGTAGAACTCTACAACCCAGAAATTGCACTACTAGGTATTTACCAAAGGATACAAAAATACTAATTCAAAGGGTACATGCACCCTGATGTTTATAGTAGCCAAATTATGGAAAGAGCCCAAATGTATATACATGTACCATGGAATATTACTCAGCCATCAAAAAGAATAAAATATTGCCATTTGCAATGACTTGGATGGAGCTAGAGTGTATTATGCTTAGTGAAATAGGTCAGTCAGAGAAAGACAAACACCATATGATTTCATTAATGTGGAATTTAAGAAACAAAAAAGATGAACACGCGGGGGGGGGGGGGG